GAAAGAGAGAGAGAGAGAGAGAGAGAGGGAGAGAGAGAGTGAAAGAGTGAATAAGTGAGTGAGCGAGTGAATGAGTTAGTATCTGTGTATACGTTTGTTTGTGAAAAAGGAAGAGAAAAAGGATGAGGAAAAGAAGAGAAAAATAATGAATAAAGAGTGCAATATAGGAAGAGTGAAAAATATGCATAAAATAAACATGTGTGGAAGAGAAAGAACGAGTGACAAATAATAGAGGCAGAGGGAGAGAGAGAAGAAAGGAGGGGCGCGCGCAAGAGAGAGAGAGAGGGAGAGAGTGATGAAGAAAGAAAGAGAGAGATAGAAAGAGAAATGAGTTTGTAAGAAACAAGAACAAGCAAAATATATGTGAGTATAGTCCATGCGTTTATATTTATAAATACAAAATATATTAATTGAGAAATATTACATATATATATATGTATATATATATATATATATATATATATATATATATATATATATATACAGTATATAAAAATATAAATATATAAATATGATTATAAATATACATATAAATATATATACATATATATTAAATAATTAAGAAAAACAAAATATATATTATAATTATATATAAACGAAATATATATGAAAGGTGAAAAAAGATATGAGGATTATGGAGATGAACAGATATATTGAAACATTGTTTTATGCATTTGTATATATAGTTATTGCTGTTTTAAAGCTAATATACTATTGTACTGAAAATTTTGAATCACCACCGATTGCAGTATAATTGGGGGGCAACGGGGTGGCTAAGAACTCCTTCTTAGGAGGCTTATATGCGCGAGGCGCGGCTAAAGTAGGCTAAATTCTATGAGCCTATTCGCGATCCTCAAGAGCTTTTTTTACAAGACCTATTTAGATGAAAACAATTTAATTATGTGAATATGAGGTAGATGATGTGAAATAATACGATACCGATCGCTCATCGTATTCAGCCGCCCCTCGTGCGACCGTACATGATATACATATACATATATAAATATAAATACACACATACACAGACATTCATACGTATAAATAATAAGATAATAATTACGATGAGATTGATATATATATATATATATATATGATGATGAGGATATATATATAGAGAGAAAGAGAGAGAGAAAAAGGGACAAAAGCATGATGCAGAGCAGGTATATTAATTGATTAATTAAGCAATTTATTACTCCGTAAAATGGTGGCGATAAAACGAGAGCACATGACCGGGGAGATTGAACGAGAGACGCTAATGTCACAAAATGCATTCATTCGCAAAAACACATATATACATACACAAACGCGATGTACATAATCGCAATGGTCCAGTTTGCGTCGCGACGTTAATTCTCATTGCGAATTGATAGAAGAGTTATCGTCCGGATACAAAGAAGAGGAAAAAGAAGGATATACATTATCTAAGCATATACACATCAATGATGATATCAGAACACCATCAAGGAATTTAAATAAATTTAATTATGAAATACTGTAAGACATATATATATATATAACATAAGGAAATATTCTATAGATAAAATCAAAGCGCTATGAACTTAATGATCAATTATCTACTCCTTCATGGTATTCGGGTGTCAGCAAGCAGCAGTGTAATTAGAAAAAAATGATACTAAATTTTGGCTCTACTGTGGTTCGAACTTCGGCCAAGTTAAGCAATTTCTTTTTCCCCCTCGTTTTCCTTCGCATTGAGAATCACGTTCTTTAAGGCTACTAAGTGAAATGAATAATTGAATAAAGAAACGAATGAATATCGTTCAGGCACACGTTACTTCATATGGAAAAAAGCAATATCGAGTAATAATTTAAACGGCGAAGCGCATTGCAGTAGCAGATTGCACGCGCGAATTCTTTGTGATTAATTGTTGTTATCGCCTATATCGCGGGTGAAGTAAATAAATGAGGATTACAACGCACCACGCGGGCGTGTGTATAACCCATTATGAAGTTTACGCGAAACTTTTCCGCGTTTCTGCCTAATTGTGCGGCAATAATTGCCCACGCACGGACGTCACCGTCGAACTACGTGAATTCCTACACACTCGTTCAAGCTCAAACCTTCAAAACCTACCAAACGTTCAAACGCGGTAAGGATACACACACTGCTCTTCTCTACGCGAGCGAATATGTTATAATTAATATTTAAAAATTATATACGCTATTTTTCACACACAATCATGATTTCACTCCGTCAGCATCTAAAATACCGATCCGGTGTAGAATTCTCGTTGGAGATTCTTAAGGCACAGTTTCGCGAAAACAAAAAAATCTACGGTCACAGGATATATTATATAAATGTACACGCATTTGCTACGATAGATAAACGCATATACATTACGCATATATACCTATGACACATTCGCATGCGCGCGCGTTTATACGGCTAGTACACGAGAACACATTGACGCAAACGTAGCATCACACGGCGAGACGTCAGAATTCCACTTTTCACGGAGTTGTCGATATCGATCTCTTGATCATTTTTTTACGCACACTCTGTTCCACGATTTAAAAAAATACGTTTCCTAAAATAGCTAGTTTAGTGTGTCTTCGCTGCGCGGAACACAAAATTACGCGTTTAATTTTGGTTTCATTGAACGCGAGAGCCACCGGCCGAGGCAAATTGCGAAAAAATGCGATCAGATCCTCCGTAGCTCTTCCCGCGAATGTGAATGATTTGAGAGTATTGAACGAAAACTCTCTATACTCCGTCCAACGAGAAATCGTGGTTGATCAAACATAAATAACGATGTATAGGCATAGAGCCGCAACAAGGTGTTCGCGTTAAATTATTTTTATTTTTAATAGTGTTGGACAATATCTATTAAAAATAAAAATAATTTAACGCGAACACCTTGCTGCGGCTCTGTGCTCTATCGTTATTTATGTTTGATCAACCATGATCTCCGCTCGTTGGACGGAGTATAGAGTCGTAGTTAGATAAGCAATTATAAAACGAATAATTTCGGATACAACAGTATTATCGGTTCTCGAGATTATGTGCTTTATTTTCGGACGTATGTACATCTGAACCGAAAACTTGCGTGTCCATTTAAGAATTTTCTACATTCGTAAATAACTCGTCAAAATTCAAGTACGCACATTCCAATTCTTTGTTGAAAAAAAATCGTTAAAATATATGATAGGCCGGGTAAATTAACAATTTAAGTAGATCGAGTGCAATTTTTAATTATATTTTTATCGGAAAATTGTAGTAACCTTCAAGGAATAAAATTAACGGATTGATGTACATTTAAATTTACTTCTGACAGTGAAACAGACAGTTTTACTATCAAAACTTGTTCTGGAAGAGCGACGAACAGGACGAAAAACCCCAAGTTTTATCGTTAAGATTCATTTCTCAGAGGGTAAAATTCTAAGATAAATAACCCACTTTAAAGAGCGAAATCGCTTTCCATCTACAGGACACATGCAAAATGAAGCCACCCCGATATTTTCTATCGGCAGCTAAATAATCCCGAAAGCAAATGAAAGAGGGTGCACGGTTGAATCGGTTGAGCCTCGAGTAGACAGATTCTTAAGTCAAGTAAACGACTGTTTGGCGATCGCGTGTATCTAGTCTTAAGCCTAAATCACGGAGCTAAATAGGATGAAAGTCCTATTGAGATTTAATAATTTTCCATACGGGAAATTGGACCCTTGTTTATCTCTTTTCTGTTGAATTCTGTTACGATTAGTATGTTATCATATACGTTATTCCTGTCAATACTAATGACATTGCGTTGGCCACTTACAAACTTCATCATATCACGACGCTCCTTTTCGTTACAACTCAATAGCGCTTGAATATATAAACTCATTCACTGCCGACTATATTGCACTGTTGTCTTCGCTCTCGCGAGATCTGAATGGCCAGACAAGCGAAGAGCTGCTCGTACAAATAAAAAGCGGCAGTGAATGCGTTAAGCTTCCTTATCAGGCTTTCGAGACGTGTCACGTGTCCCGGGGGGACACTCGTCGTCCCTTAAATCAAGTTACTTGCGTTAAATAGAGGCTTGCTAAGCGACGATACGTTCGATAATATTAGCGACACGACGGACGACGACGGTCCAACTGGACACGCGCACGAATATGATATATAATATAACCCCATATACAATATGTATATAAGCTATATATACACTCACAACGCATCATACTATTCTAGATATATAACGATGTAATTACATTTGGCGTATGTTCATATGTGCCGTTACATGTAACCGACAACTGTTAATATTCTTCCTGCGTGCAAAAGTGCGAACTTCAGTAAGGATTTGCTAACCGTCGAACTAATCAACGTCATACCTGGACTCCACCGAAAAATTATCATTACTATAGTTATCTGTACGTTACATAATTCTTATCAATTTCTATCGATACGGGCGCACAACAGTGGCAATCCGCGTAGGAAAGGTTTGGCAGAGCGTGAGTCTTTCGAAAATGTTTCTTCCGTTCAATTAGCGCTCATAGCATTACAGTTATCGAATCGCGAAAAACTGCTGATTCACTTTCTCAAAAGGTTCATTATCTGCTAAACGCGGTTCTATAACTGCAAAATGTTATTAGTCCTTCAGTTAGCTCTTTGACCAGCCACAATATACGTCCGTATCTTTGATACAGTTTCCGTTTTATACAATGTCTATATATATATATGTGTATATATATACATATATATATATTTATCGCATAAGGGTATTGAATTATCTGCCGCAAGACTGTAATTTAATTAATGCAATTTAGAACGATCGTCTAATAATTTGAAACGCGCGCTCTCTCAGATCCAGGTTATATTGCATTACATAAATTAATATAAATTTTAACTAAAGCAATCTTTCGTACTCTTTTTCTAATATCTTGACAGTCGTGCTATGTCAATGTCCGTTTAAACCAAAGAGATGTGAATGTCGTACGATCGCATTTTGTTTTACTTTCCTCGTTCATTGATGATTTGTTACGTCATCACTCAACAATGAAATCTGCAAGTTATAGATTTGTATAATAATGCATTTATTTCGATTATCAAAGCACAAAGCAAGAAAGCTATAGTTTCACATTTGTTCAAATTCACATATCAAATGGATCTGTGACGTGTAACACGACATTAGCAAATTTATCATTATAGAATAAATATTGGAAAATTTTTTTCTGTATAAAATAAGCTTATTATTTACAGAAAATTACATTACGCTTATTGTGCGGTAAAATAACTCTCGAGTTTTTAATTTATTTTAAAATCAAATTTATGTGTTGTTTGAAAAATTTGTAGTACCAAACGTATCGCTTGATGTGCAATGACATTAAACCCATTTACTACGTTTTCCAAAAAGCAGAATAATTTCTATAATGGCACTAGCAGCTTGTTCGCATTACATTATTCTTAAGCATCTGAATGATTTATATAAGCACGTTGTGGTGTGTCGTTATTTCCATGATGTCGACCGATGTGAATTAAGATATTTCTTATACATTTTGGAAAGATTACATTTTTCGAGAGATTAAGTTCCGATTGATTTCAGCAAGGACAAACTATGATAATTCGACAAATATTTACATTGTATATGTTAGGCTTGATGACGTGTTATTATCGACATCGGTAATGCAGCGAACGAGGAAAAGCAAACTTTGGAGCATACTTTCTGTGATTCACAGCGAAAGGATCGCGATAAGCGGAGTAAAGAGGAGCAACGGGGAACCGTGAAAAAGCTCGACGGAACGGCATAGCTTGCAATGAGGAAACTTGCAATATAACAAGCAATAACTAAACCCCTCTTAATTCCATGTATATTAAACGATTATGTGGATGCTTAAACGAGGATTTATTGAATTATAAACGAGCAAGCCAAGGGATAAGGTGAAATACCAATTTTACATATTCTTACTAATCGTAAACGATTACAGTACATATAGCGACATACTAAATTATACAATTATGTATCGACTTAAAAGAAAAAGAACAAAAAATGGAATATATACATAACGATAGGCCGCCCGCGTGCGAGCGGGCGTGCAGACGCTAATCTAATCTACGTAAGTACGTAAAAGTTTCAATTTTACACTACCGATAATAAATGACATAACGATAAGACTATATAAGATATATTGATGATTTATAATAATAATAACGTTGTACAGAATATTTATGAAAGGCCCGCTACTGGGAGGGAGAGCCGAGCGTCCCCCTTTTCGCGATCGCAATTGTTGCGTTGAGAAATTCGACAAACCCGTTCACAATTGCTCGAGTAAGATTCCGAGGTGTAAGTTAATCGAGGGGAATTATCGACTCTTCGTCCAGCAGCGGCCAGACTATAATGGATGTTTTGTAAAATAAAAAAAAAAACAAAACAAAACGACCGCGGAGCGCCGAGGCTGCGTTCGAGGAAGCGAATCGATCGATTGACCCGGTCGATGGAAGGAACTCCGGGTCCGTCGGCGACGCTTTTCTCAAACGGAGACACGAGGGAGACGCGAAATCGATCGATTGCGCTTACGCACTCGAGCGATTACGAGAGAACACAGCTCGGTCTCGGGTACCGGGGGACTACCGGGTTCATAATTCAGATGGGGAAGAGCGAGATAGGAACAAAAGATAGAAAGTGAGAAATTATCCGCCACGAGGCGCGAGCGAAGGGCCGATAATCTAATTAATTGTGTATGTATACAAACAAAAATAAATATAATATTGCGATTATAAATATTAAACTAATAAAGAATAACAATATATATTATACCCTTCTGTACATATAAATATATATTATATAATACGATGATTATTGCGTATATATGATTTATTATAAATATATATACATAAATATAAATATAACTCACGTGAAATTCTCTCACATTATTATGTTTATTATTGTTTACTTATGATTATTGAAAATTATTATCATTGCGACAATGACGAGGATAATGACGAGGAAGATGATGAGGATGATGATGAGGATGATGATGATGATGACGATTATGATTATTATTATTATTACGATAATATTATTAATATTTAAGAAAAGGTTCACAACGTGCCGTGTGTATGTGGGAATAAAATATATAATATAATGGACATTGTTCAATTCAATCTAACGTCTTTGTGGTTCATTACTCCCTACCTCTCGACCAGCCGATTACAAGTCGCATTAATTATGCACTCTTCCTTAATTTACTCAATACAAAATTACAGCTTTAATTATCACAAGAATTAATACGTGAAAGAATTGCGCGTAAGTGCAAAGAATTACGAATTAAACAATGTAATTGTCTAAAAAGTTTTTGTAATTTTTGTAAGTTTTTGTAAATTAATGTAATTACTTGAAAGTTTAAGTAGGCAAAGATTTATTTAGGCATACATATACTTACATGTTCGAGATGCTAACGAACGATGGAAGGGCTGCTGTGGATACGTGGAGCTTTGAACGTGCCGTATTATCCTAAAAGGAAATAATTATCCAAAAGTAATTATCATGACACAAATTTGTCTTGATTATATAATCGTCATTAGACAGAAACTATAGATCCGCGCGCATCAAGCTGCATCAATTCTGCCTCGAACTTTTCTTACCTCTCGTTCAAAAGAACGTCTGTGACGTCATCTCCAAAGTACGTTGCCGATGCAGCTGCCTGGCGGATCGCGAATTCGCGGCCTTTTCTAGCGGCAACCACGCTTTTTACCGTAAGTCATCATAAGCTCTCGTATCACGATTCGCGAATTTACGTTTTCATGCACTTTACGAGTGAGATATCCACGAAACGCGGAATTTTACCGCGATTTTAGAGAGCGATTCGACAGTCAAACGACACCGCCGCGTCCGCCACCGACGCCGCCGTACCGCGCGAATGCGCGAAGCGACGTGTGACGTAGCGATGCTCGTTTCGAGAATCGCAAGCGTCGCGAGTGTCGAGTATCGAACCGATTGAACGACCACGGACCAAGATGGCCGCCGCCCGGCGCACGGCGAGGAAGGTTGACGGTCGACGCTACGCTTCTGGCTGATCGTCAAACGCGACGTGACGTGATACCGCGGGTGAATCGCGAAAATTCGACTCGCGGCTCGCGTTTCGTGATATCGCGGGCACGATGGGAATCTTCTTCTCGAAGAAAAAGCAACCGAGCCGCGTCACCGAGCAGGATAAAGCGATCCTGGTAAGTTGTCTTAACCCTTTCACCATGACGCTACTTCTGAAACTGTCAAATCATTCTCTTATCGTTGGTCGCACTTAACTCAGTTTACGAATTATTATTAGTTATTTCATGTGCGATAAATTGCAAACAGAAAATTATGTTAGATATGTAGCGTAACGACAGAAGTACGTAGTGCGTATTATAACCTCCAAAAACGCATCTTTCATGTGCAGCAAGTGAAACAGACGAGAGATAAAATTAAACAGTACCAGAGGAAGATCGAGCAAAGCTTGGAGAAGGAACGATTGCTTGCGAAAGAACTTTTGAAAAATGGAAAGAAAGAGTAAGTATATTTAATCATCAGAAGAAAGCATTAGCTTATTGTGTACATTATATTTATTTGTATTATAAACTATAATAGTTTTTTAGAGTAACTCTCTTGAGAGTGATTCTCGCACATGGACGCACTCCTGAGAGTACTTAAAGGACACGCACCATTATATTGTGCATTATGTGCAAGAATTATGTATTAAATTGTTCAGCAATTATTAGAAATTTAAAAAGAATTTTGTATTTGAATAATTTCTCTTGTAATTTTTTTCTTTTTCAAAATTTTTCTAAAGATTTTTACTTAATTTTATAATATTGCATAATATTGTTGCTTTAAAATTGTTATATAATTTCTAATTCTTACAGTCGTGCGTTACTTTTGTTACGCAAGAAGAAATATCAAGAACAAGTTCTGTCACGTGCAGACGGCCAGCTAGAAAATCTTGAGCGTATGGCCCACGATTTGGAATTTGCTCAAGTTGAGATGAAAGTTGTTGATGGCCTAAAAGTTGGCAATACTGCACTGAAGCAATTACACGCTTTATTGTCTATCGATGAAATCGAAAAAGTTATGGACGACACGAGAGAGGGTATTGAGAAGCAAAGAGAAATAGATGAAATATTGACGTCAACACTTGCTACAGAAGAAGAATTTGACGAAAGCGAGATTGAGGCAGAATTGGATGCATTGGTGGAAGCAGATATCAACGAGAAAGCTTCCGAAATACCAAAAGACGTTTTATTACCAGATGTGCCAAAGGATTTACCAGAGAAGGAGGCGGAGGAGGAGGAGAAGAAGAAACGTACGAAAGAAAAGATTCAAGAGCCGATTGCAGTAATGGCATGAAATCTTCAAGGTATTGATGGACTTTTGTTAAATCAAGACTTTTTGTGCAATAAGCTATGTATATATGTACAGTAAATAACATATAATAAGTATAATTTATAAAATTTATTTAAAAATCAAAATTTTAGCCTAAAGTGTAATTACTTTTAACACATCATACTGTATATTGTATAATAAAATTCATTATGCAATACTTATATGTTATCTGAATATAAAAATTCAGTGTTGGAAGACATATGGAGCAAATAAACACAATTTTTCTATATATTAAAGTTAATATGTGATCAAGTATATAATGGATATATTTCTCCGCGGATAGATATTACACAAGTTTTTCTGTTTCAACAATTTGTTTATTTAAATATAATCTGTGAAACTTTATAAATGATTACTGATTTGATTTAACAGTAATTATAAGATATAATTAATAACTATATAAAAAACAGTAAAGTATACTTGAATATTATATTAATTCAAATGACAATACATTGATGAGAACTCTTTTTCTGTTCCTGGTTATAATTATTATTTTATCTTGTTGACCACACGTCTGTGTTTTATGTTCCTGTTTTCTACTCGACAATTTATATAGACATTTTAAAATATTTAATTAAATAGTGATAATTAAAGTATAAACATTTCTTTTTATTTTATTTTTTATTTTATTTTAATATTTTTATCCGTAAACTTAAAACAAATTATTGTGTATTTTTTGTTATAAAAACAGTAACGTGGATTCAAACAAGAAAAAGTTTAGAAATTAATATATAACCGCATATATAGGTTACAAGAGTAATCTATATTAAGATAATCTGTTAATTACCGTTGTACATTAGCATAATACCTACTCAACATTATGATGTTCTCAACGTTACATGACGGCGCAAGCTCCTGCACCCTGACCTTATATATTATTGGCAATTTGCATAATTAGATCAACGATTCTTTTTAACCAGAAATAAGAGCCGTGTAACATGCTAACGAGTGTGACCAATTAAAAAATTTATTTTGTAATCTAATACATTTATTTTGTAATCTAAACATGATATAATATCTTCACGAACCATATTTAATCAATTTATCAAATATTATAATGCATTTATAATGTTTGATAAATTATGAACTCTACAAAAAGAAATAGCATTGGTCTATCTTTAGTAAAGTATACTATTTTTATGTGTGAATGTTAACACAGCGCGGATATATATATATATATATATATATATATATATATATATATGTATTTATCTTACGTCGAGCTTTAATAAATTCGTGATAAGAATAAGATCTACAAGCATATACTGTTTGTCAGGTAATCACCTATCGGCGCTCAGATATATATTTTTTGATCAATATATCGTGATTTTTTAATTGAACCATTTTAACCAGAAGATAAGGCATCGTTCGCTTACAAGGTCACTGTACGCTCCTTCCTAATGGCAGTGTGATCATAAGGTATCTTGACCAGACTTGCAAATATTTGCGACTGTTCAAAATTTTCCGCTCGCTTTTGTTAGTGTGTCGAAAGATATCTAGAGGAATGGTAAATAATGTTATGTAAAATCGCGAAATACTTTGCAATGCTCTATGAATTTAATATTTCGAACTTACAATGACATTTACAATAAACAACGAAGAAGTTCATTTTTATACATTAAACTGAGAATTTTTGCCTTTTTATGTATTGGGTTTAGCAATTTAACTGGTTTTCCGCAAAATCTTATTATACATATCAAATTACAATGATAATAACGTTGCGATCGTATATCTGTAGATGTTGTTCGGCTTAATACACACACACACATATATCTGTATTTTTACTTATAACATCTTAAAATAAATATCTTAATAAATATTAAATTTATAGATATCTATAAAACTATTCAAATACTTTATATTATGATAAAAATTGAAGTTTATGCAAGTATGTGCGTATTGATAATATCAATTTTATTCCGTTTCAAATTCAGATGCGTTGTTATTGATATCGTGTACGCATATGATTATACCCACGAAGAATATTGATACTTCGCTACATTCTGTATTGCGCGTTTATACACAACAACTTTATTTAAAATGCACTCAACAGCGTATATCCTCCGAGGCGTGGAAGTTTTGTTAAAATGAAGATATTCTTCGTATCCATATCGATTACCATTTACTTGAGAACAGTCTTAAAAAGACGAGACGGTAACACATCTTAATTTTTCTTATAAACGCCGTGGCGCCTAGTTGACATCCGCGAAAGCAAACTTCTGTCGTTAGCATCGAATAATATACTGATTTACAAGTCTAATCGTCTAAAAAAGAAATTACCCGACGACTTAATTTAATAATACTTGATCCTATTTGCAATACGTATAAGTCGAAGATTGCTCGCAGAGAAATGATCAACTTGCACGTATTGCCAGCTATATCAGGAAATACGGAAACCTGCGGGTATTTAAATGACGTCTATACGGATGAACGGTTCCGCATTTAAAACCGGGTGGCCTTGAAGAATGAATGAGACCAAGGGAAAGGGAAGGAGGGGAGGGGACACATCGAGAACGATGGCCATATGCACAAGTTGCTTGGCAAACGGTGGTCTTGTTTCTTTTTCCTCTCGATGCTTACGAATATTTTACAATCAATAATACATCAATCGGCGTAAATATGATGTTCGATAAATGATCGAGTTAGTAGTCACCAATTAATCATTTATTGAATACGTGAGATTTTGTAAAAGTTCCTGAGTGTTTTTCAGTCATAATTATTTGAGTTATTTGCATTTAAATAATGTAATTTCTTTGACATTGTATGCTTAATGCAACTTTGCAATATCTTGTAATAAATTCTTAAAAATGAGAATTTAATTCGTACAGATAAAACGAGAGAAGTACTGATATAAGATCTCAAGTGCTTCTTGACTGAAAATACATTCTTTTTATAATTTTTTTCTTATCTTTTCTTATCGAATACTGTGTCAGATGACTAATATAAATGCAATTCGTATGCAAATATAAAAACCCAATGTCTCTTAACTTTTTTACATATTAATCAGACCGTAATTTCCAGAATTGTATGTGATGTCATTCCTCGAAGATATTCTGTCTTCTCTCTCTCTCTCTCCCCCTCTCTCTGAAACCACTTGGTAAAAATACTTGAATTAATCAGTAATATCAATCGACAAGCAATTTTATATTGTTCAAAAAACAGATTATAAAAGAAGGATTATAATATCAAGTATTTGTCGATTGAAGTATTTTTTAAGTTTTATCGTTAAGATACTATCATTGATATAATTTAAGATAACTTTTTAATTGATGAATCTATTCTCTATACAAATTTCCTACACATTTTTTCTTTGAGAGATAGAAAGAATAGATTATTCTTTCTTTTAGCATTTTATATTCATTCACTTCTACTTTGTACTGTTATATCAATTTCTGTCCTTTTTTTCACAAATTTAGTATAAATATGGAAAACCACAAGCATAGTAATACCTACAATGTTGCACCAAAAGCTTATATTAATAGAAAAATATTAGCATAAAATACTTATAATTATACTAATTATTAGCATAAAATTGTATATATTTATAATTATATTTATAATACTATTTTTATGTTAGATGTTATAATGCCATAATAAAGAATGAGCATATATGAAATCACTTCATTCTTTATTTAAAATTGTTGACAAAATTACGTTATGCAACATAATTTTTTGAAAATTTTTTTTCCAGAATCATTGATTCTTTTTTAAAAGTATTATGTTAACTCGATTGATCTACGAAATGCTTTTGAAGTAACCACTAATTTAATGTTACCTCGATTTTACGATCGCAACCGAAATATGATGTGCGTTATCGCTTATCTGTATATCCAGTGGAATTACCCCTTTAGGCAAAAGTATAGATTGTTCCATGAACCTCGAACCTATTATTCTCATTTTGTTTCCGCAATGAGCGATAGACATCAGATAAAAGTATCCGATATCTAAAATCGGGCGCCGTATTCGTAAATAGATTACAGCTGGTTTTTTCGGACACTCACCTGTTGCAGTTTCGATCGTTACACGTTTTTTTCCCCATTTTTAATGAGAAATCGCACTCGCTATAACCACATAGATATTTTAAAACTGCATTACAATAAGTTGTTTTTACTTCTCCTTTATTTTATTATCAATAAAGTTTAATTAATATTTAATACTGATTATTTTTTCTCTTTACCGAAATACGTCTTTGCAAATACATTTATTTGCTTTTGTTACTAAAAAGTTTATTTTAACTGCGCGTGGTTAGCTAAAGCGAAGAATTGTATATAAAAATTCACGCGAATAATATTATTAATAGGCTACGAAGATCCAGTCCTATAAATGTAAGATCCAAACTGTAAATGGCATATTCTCTAATTAATTACATGTATATCAGATCGGTTCTATTTAACTTATTATTATTGTTTATTTTTTAAATTGCTGTATTCAGATAATTGTCAATATTTATACTAGTTCTTGTCTTTTATGTACACACATGTAATGTGTGTGAACAAAAGTAAAGACAGATGTTATAGAATGTAGAAGATTAAGATGATTGTAAAGATAAAATTTAATGCTGAAAAGAATCGTAATCGTGTAAATGTCTGAACGATTTACAATGTTTTGATACACTTCATGGAAAATATGAGTGCTATAACTCTGCTATTATTTTAAATTTCGCCTTAATATCTTTAAACAATAAATCTTAAAATATTAAACTTGAAAATATGCATTAAAAACAAATTAATTCTTTTTTCATTCTTGTATAGTTTCTTTCTTAAGAGGATTACTATTATTAAAATATTCATACAAATTCAGATATGTACAAATTTATTTTAACAACATTACAATCTATAAATAAAATTGTACACATGTATAAATCTGCATATCGTTAAAAACTAAAATAAACGCTAGTACATAATTGTACTTCAAAATGATTTAAATACCTACGCCTATATAAATTTGTAGATGGGATTTTTATTTCATTTTTTAACTATTTATGAATTTGTTAGTGGATTAAATATTTCCATTGATTGTCAAAACACAATCTCACATTTATGTGGCATACCATGTCGATGAATCAACATTGTTAGAATTACCATCACATAGAAGCACATTTAAGTAAAGCACACAGACAGTGCCAGATAGAGAAATATTACACAATATAGATATAAATAGATCTTTCGAGAGTGGATCTCGACGTGAGTGCATTAATTATACTATTGTTCCGAATAAGATGTTCTCAATTGCGGTGCGATCCAAGCAACTGCCATGATTGGTCTGAGATGCTGCCAATCCTCATTATCGAATTGCTGCTATTAATTTCCCACTACGCTGCACGTCACCATCGAATAGCTTGTAAATCAACATTCTGAAAATTCCCCGGGCGGATTTTTCCACGATTTTGGCGCAAATAAAATAATAAGCTAGAATCTCGTTTTCTATTATTGGTAAATTAACACGGTGACGTGTTTCAATTAAAGGTGGACAAGGAAAATTATATCGATTGAACATGAATGATTTCTGCAGATGAGGATAAACTTTTTTTTCTAAAAAGTATATTAATTAAAAAATATATCACACAAGAAATCCAGCTATATTAATGTATATAATCACTTTATATTATGTTCTAACAAAGATTCACTGCAGAGAAAGAGGTAATGTTTTTCAAATTAAGAAAAAGATAAGAAAGAAAGTTTGAAGGAAAATGTCGACGAATCATTCTTCAGTTTATCAACTACATACAAAATTAATTTATTAATTCCATTTATTGGCATATATATTTTTGTGTTTCTATATATTTTGTGCTCCCTAATTTTTTTTAAATATTTTAATTATATTTATATATAATTTAAATTATATATTTTTCTCTCTAGTTATATCTAAAGAAAGAATTTATTTTGTGAATTTATATTGAAACGTTTAAAGTAAAAGAGACTGCTCAATGTAAGATCGCTTGTGAGAAATTTGAGAAACACTGCTGGAAAACACGCCTGACATCAATGATATACCTGCGTTTGACTCCCGTAGTAACTGGCAGCGTGGGTCAGAGTTAGACAGACCCATGAGAACGGCTGCGGCGTCAGTCTGCGCTGAGTCTTCGTCGTGGGAGTTGCGCTCTCTTGGTGCGTCATCAGGGCAGCTGTTAGGGCGCACAGAAGAGCAGCGAGAACCAACCAATCGGAGACTCAATGTGTTAAATTAGTGCGTGCAGAAAGTTTTCGAATCTTCCAACATCCAACAGCCTAAAATAGACCGCGAAAATTAGTTCAGGTAAGAGATATTTCTTTCTCATTTGTTAGTGACTCTGAAAAGAAATTATAGTTTTATCATTCTTATCTGTATATGTATACACATATATAAACATTTTCTGAACGATTATTAAAATATAATTTTTTACTGATAAGTAATATTTACAAAAAAATGTTAAAGAATAGAAACTCATCGCTTATCTTTTAAATTTTCTTTTGTACAATCGAAATTTTTGAGCTTATCGTCTATTGGAAAATTTTTAATTGCAGAAGCGATTAAATTAACAATAGTATAATAACGCTAACTTAGAGAAACTACATATAAAACAGAGAAGGAAGCGAAGTGGTAACAGAAAATATATTTTAATATAATTAAAGAATTTGTACGTTACCATTCTTATAATATCATTTTTACCCTTTTTTGAGACCATACTTATACATATAACAACAATGAGAGATTATATATTGCTCATTAAAAATGAAAAATTATACATAAGTTTCATAATTTTTTATTCGTTAAGTAAACAATAAAAAAATTAAAATATGTGAAATTTTTTTTACCCTGAAGAACTATACGTGATATCATGATATCGTGAAAAATTTTTCAGATTTATATTATGTATGGTTATTATATTAATACGTTGTTATAAAAATTGACATATATTTATTAACCACATGAAATATACAGAAGTGGAAAGTTCTTTTTTTTTTTTTAAATATTTTTCAAAAGTAATTTATCTAAATATATAATAAATATCTTTGTATTTATAAATCGCGTATACTTCGAATTTACTTTTTATGTGTTTGTCTTTTTAATTTCATATATAGTTAAATACTATAAAAATATTATTGCTAAAATGAGTTGTTGCATAGTAATAGAATCTTTATAAAAAATTAAGTATGCTTTTAGTAATTTAATTAAAATTATTTCTGTTTCTTTGGTTCAATTTCTCACTTGCAAATAAGCTTCGTCAACTTGTTAATTGAGTAATCACGCAAAAATTTATTTTGCGTTTATTAATGTAGAATATCTGGTTGTTTTCAATTCGTTACAAAACATTGTTAGACAGACATTGAAACAACGTCGCACAACAGATGTGCCTTAAAATTTAAAAGACGGATTCGTTCAAGAAGAACGTGTTTGTCATCTCCTTATCATGCTCCTTATGCTCCGCAGGTGCAACAGCGTGAATTATGAACGTATATATCATTTCAAGTATACATGTGAGAAATATCTGCGTATATTTCATATCAGTTGGTAAAGTTAAACACTGCATTTATTCTCGCGTAGCAGTACTAATGTATTGCTGTACACGGATATTGTTTGGTTAATGCTATGATAATTCTACTTATATAAAGTAAATATAATTTACGCGAGTGATTCTTGAATGACTATATATTGTATTTTATAAAACTGCAAACAGAGTTTTAAGAAATGACTAAATAAATAAACTTCCGATCCTTAGCACTGATATTTTAGAAAATCTTCTTTCTTTATACGCTTTTATCTTGTTCCGCGATTCAATCTGCAATTTTTCTTGAAAGGTACGAATAATTTCACAAGAGAATAACTGAAAAGATTTGCAACTATGACATAAATGTTTATGTTGAGTCTAGGAAAGCGCGATAACGCGTGGTATATCAGTGACGCGGTATATCATAAATGTATTATTGCATCTCTTCTTCGTCGAATTTTTGCAGTCGTGATCAGCTTTCGTGCGATGTTCACACGTAGCAACGTGATAAAAACTCCTTACAACGTGATAACGTGAGCGCCACCGAAGAATATTTTTATCGTTATTCTTCAGTGCCCCGAGAAAAAAATACGTTTTAAATTTTATTTGCTAAAACAACACGTTTCTATATATAGGTAATTCAGTAATATACAATTAATCAAATTAAAAATTTTTTTGTATACGTAATAAGTCTTTAAAAAAAAATTATAAATATATAAAATATAGTTATTAAAAGAAGTGAGCAGGTAGTCGTTCTGCCTAATATTTTATACCCAAATAATTTTGAAGAAATGAAACTGTCAGCTATATCTCATCTGGTAATCTTTCTTTTTTTACCCATAAATTTTTCCAATTTTTATAGCAATATTTTATGGCAAAAATAACAAACGCGGTTTCTCGCACGCGCAAAATAGAAAGAGGCAGAAAAATGGGAACCACATAGATCACATTTCGGATTCGGAGAAATTATGCGAATACAGACACGAGACGCAATGGTAAATAAAGCTGTTCCCGCGGATATTTTTCACCTGTTTTCCCGCGCGTACATACAGCCGTGTGCGTAAAGTCGACCATTTACTTATCTACTAGCTACCGTGTGCGAGGTGCGAAACCGGGTTAAGGTTAAACCATGTAAGCGACGGGTACCATAATGCAACTATCACACCGCCGTCGGGCCGTCGTGCAAGTCATTGACGTAAGAGTCGCGATAGTTTCCTGGCCGTTTCACGGGGGTTCGACATAAATGCGAGACCCCGACGCACGCACGTGTAAATATAGACGAGATCTGTCACGCACGCGTGCGGTCTAGGGAGACCGTTCGATAAAATGCAAAATGCACGAAAGCACAGGCGGATCGATCCACCAACGGCCGGGAAGTACGTACAACTGTACGTTCAGCTGACTTCTTCGGCACGGCAAAAAGTGAAAAGTGTATCAACGAATGTATCTTTTAGATGGTCATCGATGCACTCGTTTTGTAAGTTAAATAGCTCGCGTTGGCGCGCAACAGTTACCGCTGGAATTTGACAGCATTAACGACGATCAATATTACATCAATCACTATTGATATCAATCACTATTGACATAGCATTATTGATCTATTGATACTTATTAACAATTTAAAATTCTATATTGTACTTCTAGCTCTCTTGTTTGATTCTTACTATATGTATATAGCTACTCCGAATTCAATATCATTTTGACTGTTAGATCCTGTCTCAAAGCTCCATATTATTCTTTGCTTCTCTTATATCTACTATTTTTTCTTTTACATCGCTTTCTCATCAATTTACATTTGCATGACCATGCAAAGAGTGGGAATGCTCATATAAACAACACGAAGGCTTAAATGTAAAATTTTTTATTACTATTTTAAAATGTAGAAGAAATGGGCTGTATTATCATATAGAAAGGAATATGGTATGATTGCATGCTATAAATAATTAGATATGCGCTATCATGCATCATTGATTTATCACGCTTATTTACGTTGTTCTAAACGCGTCGTACGTAATTTGCTTATGCGAAAAGACATGTGAGATATCATTTTAGTAATAAATAAATATTTCCTTTCTTCTGTGCAGTTAAGATATTTATAGAAATATTCGCAAACAGATGATAAACTAACGGTAAAGAAAGGATGAGCTATTTATGCCTAATCAACATTCAAGCAATGCTATCAATTTTTTAATAATATGCGATATTATTGCGAGTCAGATAACAGATAACGCAATACTGCACATTTACTGCACACGAAAGGAAATTAGATTAGGAAAGAATTGCATTTATTTTAAATATTATTGCATGCACATGTCATCACTAACATTTCACGGAGAACGTATTAATCAATATTCTTCTGACAAGTTTTATTAACATAATATCGGTTTAAATAGCGAACTACGTTACAACGGACGCATTATCAGTTTAAATAACGGATTACGTCACAACAGACGCACTAAAATGGTTCTTTATAATCAGTTAAAACTAAAAATAACAAGAATTTCGTGGAAATAACGATTTTTTCGAAATTTTCATTGGATTAGCGTGTAATTTTTCGTGTACTCAATTTCATTCGTTTTATTCGATGCGTTGTAATATTTTTCATGTTTAAACACTCGATTATCGACACGATAATTTTATTGCGATGTATGCCAACGCAAATTTGCGAACGTTTATCAGTAATTACGGTACAATAATGTTACTTGCTATCTTTTTTTAGCCGCCATTTTTACGACTACCCGTGTGTCAAGAAAAGAACTTGAAAAAGAATAAAATATCAACCGCATTGTCAGCGAACTTTCGTCGCGTCAGCTTTAAACTCTCATCGGATTGAATAAACGACACTTCATAAAACCGAGAACGCGATAAGATCTATCTTAATTTATATCAATATACTTAAGCAGTATCTTCGTAATTGGATTTATTCGTTACGTCAACAGATATTGCATAATTCTTGTTGAATATAATTGATGAAACTGTTAGTTTTTTTTTTATATTTGTGAAATTTTTTTTTAAATATATAATATAAAGTATACTCATTGAAATATTGCACAATTAATCGTTCGATTAATTGTTTTTTCTGTTCTGAAAGGAAAAGTTTTATCAACTGGTTTACGATAAAAATAGCAGTATGTAACTGAGATGATGTGCGACAGACGATCTATCTGCTCGTTACGTGTCGATTTCTTCTGTGAAAACGTATTCTTGGACCTATGTCTGTATATCAAAGAAGAAAAGATTAAAAACAATTTTAATCACGTATCAAATATTCCAAAGATAGCATAGTGGAAGAAGTAAAAAATCGATGTAAATTAATACAATTCGATATTAATGAAATATACCTACATATGTGTTCCTTTTTAATTCAATAACTACTAGATACGTATCATCGTTCATTCTTAGAAGCAATGTCTACGTTTATACAGTGAATCGAATGACGATTAGTATATTATATTAATATCGCAATATTGCGGTCGAGTTATCATTAAGCATGATCGACGAATGTCTGTTTTAACAATATCTTCCAAACAACAATTTCTAATTTATTATTCCTCAGCTTTTAGCTCAATATTAAATATCAAAGCAATTAGGCCTTAAAATATTCTTAGTTTTATTACCGTGTACATTATTAAATACTCCTTAATGGCCTTTTAAGAGAGAGAAATATTTGTCTGCATACCCTAACTATAACTGTATGATATATTATATGGTTAAAAATCGATACGCTTGGTAGGAATAAAAATCGCCGACAAGATATATGATGCACACGCAACTTTCGTTCGATAAAAAGGCAACACAATCAAGCTTACACAATCGTGAACTCCTTTTTACTGCGACGCAACCTCTGATGGCACATGATCTCTGTCCATAGCTTATGGCGGCTTAAACAAAATATGGCACATCTACATCAGAACAGCTTGTGTTTAACCAATATCCTGCACTTCATTGAACGTAGTCTAGCCTCTTGAAGAGGTTCGTAGTACAAGTTACGTCCTTGGATGTCGCTTCTCGGGTATGTATGTAAATTGGAATTAATTTCGCGGCCGCGTCATTGCGTTGGTTTGTGCACGCATACGGAGTCTGTTCGACGCGTGTATATCTTCGTTGATATAACATATATAAACGCATGAAAAAAGAAGCGCATATCATCGTTGCCGAGACGATTTTACGGCGTCCCCTCACGTGTTTAGGTGAGCTTGGATGCTGATCGTGCAGCGATAACGTTTCAAAAATAAGACTTTATCTTTACGATTTTGGTGACGCGCTCGGAAACGGATCGTATAATCGTACGTCGCTCGGAATTGAACGATCTCTCTCTATTATATTCGTGTCGCCTTATATACGCCGACCCGCGACGCGATATGTTAGTCGTCAGGAAAATTTGCTAGTCGAAGGACAACGTCTATATTATTGGCATACCAGCACTTTGGATATCCAAACATCATGGACGAGTCCAGCGGTAAAATAATTACCGTATGTTATATTAACTAAACTTGCGTTGTGTTTTTAAGACTGGCAACTCTCAAGTGCGGTAAAAGAAAAAAATCCGGACACACTTTTTCTTCATTTCAAGGAACGACATTGAATCACGTTATTATTGTGTTATTTGTTAAATAAGTCACGCGATGGATAACAACGTTGTATTAATTTACATGTGTTTAAGCTTGAAAATTACACTATCCCATTATCGGAATTTATTAGATATAGTTCTTACGATATGAATATTAATGTCATTAATGTGAATTAAAATGTATTAAAGTGGAATTAGTTGTGCCGTTATGGTAATAATTATGGACGCAATATCTGATATAGTACACACCATAATTATATTGTTTTTCAGAGCATGTTGTTTTAGAAATAGGTTTTCGCGTTTTACTTTTGCGACGTAAAAACGGAATGAGCTCATTTAGAAATTATACCAATAACGATGTTATTGTTATTGGATTTACAATTATATATAACAATAACGATTTAATGCTTAAGTATGGATGTGACGAGTATTGATCGTCTCGTAATGTCGGCACGGTTTATCTTCGCGTTATAATCGTTTGCACGTAGCCTACTTTGTAGATAATCGAAGAATATTTATAGCTGCTCAACCAATGAATTATGTAAGAACGATAAGTTCAGTTGATGAATTAAATTCTTAAATAATTTATTAATTCGACGATGGATTCGCGAATGCAATTACATATTAGCATCTACCATTTGTGCAATCGTACTTGAGTATACTATCATGACATTGTAAGAGTGCCGATGAGCATAATTTTTAACGATAAAACAATGGGAATTATCTCGAGATCCTGGAATTATTAAAGATCACGTCGCGCTGGGATAAAGTCCTCCCGTTTTTTTTCTCCCAAATAAAATGCTCACGCACTTTTAATTTATCGTTATCATCAGTTATATTTTATTTATAAGGAGAAAGTTTAACTCTTTCAACTTTCTTGTGTTGAGCAACTCAGTTGCATTGAGTTTAATCTATACAGACTCAAGTTAACTAAATTTTAATTATGTCAAGCATTTCGTCTTTCACTAACTGCGTGAATATTCTTATTGCGTATTACATGTCAGGAGGTAGTAATAAAACGGTAAATGTCTACAAGACGAAAATATATCAGGGTGCGCCCGCTTGCTAATTCTACTCGAGAGCATTATTTATTGCCCATCTAATTCTTGACGTCACTGCTTGTCGCCCTTCTTGATGTTCACGAAGGGTAGATGAGTAATGGAGTTTTGTACGAGTAACCTACTTTCGAAAGTGGCATGTCTTTTGTCAAGATGCTCTCAAACAAACGCTCTGTCTCCTTTCGTCAATATTATTAGCAAATGCCATCTTAATAAAATCGCAATTTGCGTCAAATGAACTCGCTACGATCCGTCTTCCGAGGAAAAAGAGCGTACGGAAATTTTTCGAGCAGGAAACTTTTTCTCGTTATTTTGCGAAATACGTCTCATCGATTACCGTTATTATTAAACTATCAACTATTCTTTCTTTAATAATAATCTTTTTGCTTTCTGTATAACTTTATATAACTCATTAAACAAAGAATATATTAGAGAAGATGTATTAGTATTAGATGCAATAAAATCGAGCTAAATTTAGTTTCGCTTTACCGTTAGAGTCTTATTAGAGGAATCGGATTTGTACGCATTAATAACTGTTTGACAATGGTACATACTTATAGATTAAACTCTAATTCTGTACGGTCTGGCAATTGGATCGCAATTGTTCTGTTAAGTATTACGTACGTACTATTACATTTTTTAATAGCAGCAGTAAAATGTTGTCATATTTGTAACAGCTGTTATACTAATATCATTCATATTAAGCGAAATGATCCCCAGCTTTATATTCACGAATGTCATTCCCTACAAATCAAGTGATTGATAGCGACGTGCGTTTGTCTGGCGATCTATTTATAACATCGCCAAATCAAGCAGGGTATTCTGTTCGATATCACAACAGGCCGCAAGCCTGTTCACGTTACCGTAACATATATACATACATACGCATACCATTCTCTCAAAAATATCCATCCTTTCCTTATGAGAGATCCGCACGCGAAGTGTCGTCGAAGAGAATCTTTTTTATATTACCATTACGCTGAAGATGACCACAAAAAATGGTCGAAACGTTCGCGAATTTTTTATGTATTGACGGTTAAAAGAATATATACAATTTTGCGCCCTATTTACCGCGCCGGCTCTTATTGCCTCTTTCCCTTTACTTGATTTAATCACGAGAGCCTTATAATATTTTAATCTTTTTTATGTTCGATCTGTCGGTGTGCATTACTAAAATTTTTCAGAAAAGCATATTCCATGTTTCAGCTATGTCTCTGGAGGAATCACGGAGATCGCAACGTCCGTACCGGTACGGGATGGTCCTCCTATGCGTCGGGGCTCTCATCAACTGGTTGGGTTTAGCGGAGAACTACGTTGAACCGGTGCGTTACGTCGGTGTCGCCTGCATAGTCGCCGGGGCTCTCCTCATTTGCGCCGCGATGTGCTGCTGGCTGCACGCACCGCCAACTAGGACGAGCACGCACACGCAACATACGAACCATCCGATCACGGCACAGGTAATTCACGAACAATGTGTCAACCTGGCGAATTTATTTACTCCGTCGTACAAATTCTCAGTTCGAGACAAACTCGGAAGAGAGCCACGTCGAGGAAGGAATTAGAGCTATGATTCATACATCAACGCAAATCTACATTTACCGGTTTTCCGACATAATTAATCATTTCTCTTTTTTTTTAATCTGCCTTCATTAATCATCGCACGTGAAGTTTTGTATACGCTTCTATAACGCGGCCAATAATTATTATTAGCCCCTTATATACTCTGCGAATGTTACGACATAATCCCAAATTGAATAAATACGCCAAGTAATATCGTGAAGCCGTGAAGTCATCATATCGTGTTGTTTTTCAGTTCTACTACGTCAGTATTTTTAATTAAATTTAGAAAAATTACAAAATATGTAACAATAAATTGCATTTCAAATATTCTAAACGTCTTTTCAAACTACTTCTTAAAATAATAAATTAATTATATCCGAGTATTATCTTTTTATTTGCGTAATATATCTGATCCGTTGAAAAACGAATTAAATTAGATTCAAAATTTATCTTTAAAACTCTAAAACTTAATCTAATATATTTCTTCCATATAAATGATACTTATTCTTACTTTTGTTTGTTATTAATTGTTCTTTATCAGTTATTCTTTCACTAATTGTATTAATTTTATTCTCAATGCAAATAATATTTCTCTTCAGTAAGATATTTCCTCGCATTTAGACTAACTAATTTCGCTACAGGTTCTAATATCGCCGGTATTGAGAGTGGTGATAAATATTTATCATATATGATCTATTTAGACTCCATCCAAAAAGATGCAGGTCGTCGGCGCGGTTGAAGGCCCCTGAGATTAAAACGTTTTTAGATCGATCCGGGTCAACCCCCTATTATAGACCACAAGGAACGCGTATTATCTATAGATATACCCTAGCCTAGCAGTAAGCCGCAATTACCAACGACGGTGGACAGAATAAGAAGAAGCTTAATAATATACCCACGATCTATAGCTCATGCTTCTTTTTTTCCTCTTCGAACGGAGCCTAGAGCGAGAAATACGACAGAAGGGAGATAAAAAGATAAAGAGAGTACACTTTCATATATATCAGATAATATACATCGCGAGGTACATAAATCTTTAAAACGTTTAATAAACACGCCCCGTGTTCGTCACACGTTTCCATGTTGGCAAACATGCGCCTGTTGTTTGCAGATATCGTAAAAATTTCAAGCGACAGAAATTCTATGATCGCGAGGTACTAACAATAAAACTCGCATCACCCGTGGAACAGCGCGAAGTCACGATTGCATCACCTTGCTATCATTTCCTCCTTTCGATTTCAAATGACGGAAATATTACGAACGATTCCACGATGCCTTCGATTTTCCTCAAAACCGGTAATATATCCTCCTTGTAAGAGGTCAGCATTATTGTTAGTATGTACATAAATACTATTGGTGTAAATGATTCATTACTCTCTCTCTCTCTCTCTCTCTCTCTCTCTCTCTCTCTCTCTGTTCCTTTCGCGGTATCTGTCCAACTCATCGTCGCTATGTCTGGTCAGCATTACTATTATTAGATATTAATTTCAACATGTATCGTAAGAGAGAATTCGAAAGTGTATTGTTCAGTTTATTAGCATGAATTTTGCGCGATAATAATATTTAATATCAATAATTTTGACAGTAACTGATGATTATTTAACGAGATTTAATTAGAATTATATCGCAAATTTTTTCTCTACTTTATTACGAAATATATATTTCGTTTCTCTTTTTCCGCCTTCTTGTCTTTTTAGCCAATACTATTTTAAATCAGTTTGCCGCAAGGCATTTTTCCCCATGGAATTATCAACGAATATTCTCTATGTAAAATAAACGGCCTGTCCATTTTCAAATGTTTGCCTGTCCGTTCTTTATGCTTCGTTACATTGTATATGCAAAAAAGATATAGTGCACATCGACAAAGGAGGTCGTGACAGTTTGTAATGTCGATGCTGCTATAAGGATATTCACCCGGAAACATGTGTGTACCAATTTATATTTAACATCAGTTATCCTTGGGCATATTTATCATTACCTATATAGATCAAAATTCTTAAATCGACAATCTGAAATAAATTTTATATCGAAGCGACGTAGGATTACGAGAAATATTCGCTGTCTTCTCACTTAACAATTATGCGACTTCAACTTAAGTCCTACACATGTTTACTTGTCGCTTACATGCTTGTTAAGGAACATATGACACATCGAATTATATATAATGTCTTGGCTTTACCCACGGCGTTATCACGCAATTCTCTATCTATTTTTATAAATCTGGGTGTTTCCAAAGTCAAGAAGTATAAGTGTCACTTAATTATCAGAAATCCTGTTAAATCATGCATAATTAATTTTTTCGTCGAAACTTGATAACCTTTGAGATAGCGACTTATCGCGGCATAGCTTCTAAAGAAGGAAGTCAGAGTGTACGACAATTGAGAGAGAGAGAAATTCTTTAAATACTGAAAAACTCGTCGCGTGATTGATGTGACATTGCAATTTCCGCGTAATTTTCTAATCGTTGAACGATCAGCTACGTCAATGCATTCGAGAATTCTTCGTATTAGTTCGGAAGTTGTCAACTTGTATCAATTGCTTGACGCAGTTCAATTGCGAGTCAATTGACCCTTGGATAAATATTTACAACAAAAATTAATTTTGTTCATTAGACCTCTTACGTGACAGAGATGCTGCAATGATTTCAATTATATTACATGATCTAACATCACATTTCTCTCGCGACCCAATTATCACGACTCGACTCGTATGTGTACGTCGAGGCGACATGTAGCATCAGCAAGGGACATCATTTTCATGTCCGATCAAATATAAACAGCGTGGAATGTTGTTTCCTCGAAATCGTCGAGGTCATATGCTCGTGCCTACTCAGCGGCGATAAGCCGCTCGAGCGCGTTTCAGCAGGAAAGAATTTCGTGCAGCCGCGAAGAGAGGAGACCCTCGGGGTCGCAGCCGTTCACCTCGCCGTTTCCATTTAGGCTCATTATGCAATTTTCCAGCGAAGCTTTTTTTTACCACCGCAAATAGCCACGGCTATTCTCGTCGACCGCACACGCGCTCGCGTCTCGTACGTCACCCTATATGTATCTCGCGTGCGCCCTTTCGCGACTTACATTCAGCCGGCCACAATGCTTTCCGAAGAATACCGAGAGAGCTAGGTACGCAGATATCTATAGACGACCTACGACGAATATAGCGCGATGTGCACTTCCGGGTGAATATCCTTATAATGCGCACGTAGAATATCGCGGGAAATGCGAGGCCGGCACGTCGCGATCTGGATACTTTAAATAGACCTCGGCGACGATATATTTCCATGATGATTAACTATGCAACGTATTCTTTCTCGCAAACGAATACGTTCGCTATTATTGGGGAATTTGAATTGAACGTCGTAATTGCGTAGAACTTTACAAGAAAGTCACACATTAAAATTAAATTAAATAATCCTAAGAAATCTTAAAAACGCAATAACAATACCTACAAAAACTTTTGCATACTGGTTACTTTATAAAATTTCCGAAGTTACACTACAAAGTATTATATGTACAAGTTATGTCATCGCGCGCTGAAATTCTTAAATTACAAGAAGGCAATTTCATTGATCCTCGAAGTAGCGATCCTCAAAGAAATTTTAAAGGACAATTAATAAGACGCAACGAATCTTTCTGAAAAATCAAACAGCAAGCGATCCAAACAAAATAACTGACATAAATTCTTAAAGTTATAGATAAGAAAGATTCAAATACGAAAGTAGGCAATGGAACTATTATATATACAATCCCGCAAAGTTATGCAATTGAATTCTATGATACGCTGAAGCTAACTCAACCGATCGCCTTCTTTTAAAGATCGATGACCCGATCCACGTGATTTCCATCGAGGAACCGCCTGGCGTGTCGAGGCAGAAGCCGCCGGATTACGAGGCGGTAACGGACGCGCCACCGAGCTATGATGACGCTATCAAGCTAAATCCTAGTCAATTAATCAGGTTGAGCAATGGCAGCACGCCGCCGTTATCCTCAGGACAAATTATCCCGACAACCATCAGTATTGTCTCTCCAACGCTAACACCGCTAACACCGCCACCGCCATACGCGAGGTAAGAATATTCATAAATCCCTGAGCGATGCATCCACGCCTTGAAATGGATAACTAATGTCATCTCCCAGAGAGACAGCTATTACGTATTTTTACTTAAAATAAATCTCTTCTTCTAAATCAATAAAATTGATTATTCTTATTTCAAGACACAAGAATCTTGTGTTATATTTAATTTTTATTTTGTAATCACGATATTGATTATAATAGTATTTCTCGATTTCAATTGTATCTATGTAATAGTAAAGTCGTGTATTAAATGCGGCAGAGTGTTTCTAAATCTGTAAAAAGAGCTAGCCATTCGAACGAGTTTTTCTTTGTTTCAGGTGAGATTGTAGCGCTGAAAAAAGAGATCAATGAATACGCAGGTCTGCGACATGGATCGGAGAATCGACATATATCGTTGTCAATTGCAAAGATGAGCGATCACGTCTGTGGACTGCGAATAATACGATTGTACGACAATTCCGTTGTTTGCTCTTGTCGTTACGAGATGCGTGAACGTATACGTAGAGCTGCGCAAGATATCAGGGAGAGGAAGTTGAACCATTCAAAGATTGCTCAATGTTTCCACGAGCAAGAATCGAAAGAGGATCTCTTCGTGACGTCTCAGATATCGACTGCTTAGATTATTATCTATATTAGCTGCGAACCGTTGGCACCGACATCGTTTTACCGCTTAGAACGATTAACTCTTCCTAGCATTATGACGTTACGTTACGGTAACTCCAGGAAGAAACAGAAAGCCATTGAACGAATTGAGTTCGTTTTGATCACGGCGATATTCGAGTTTATTTAACGCGGCCTAAAGATTTGCGGTTACTCTCGAATTATATCACGATAGCTTTGCTTTGTTGAAAGTCGGATGGATCTCTCATGGAATCACGCGCATCTGAGAAAAAATAGAAATACACAATGGTGATACGTAACGACGTACTGACTCACAATGCATAATTGCAAACGTACAGGTCTATACATATCGTACTTCTTTCATTTTCAATGCAATCCGATGATCGTCTCAATGAGAATCCATCTGCGATGAATTATGTCATAGCGACCGCGATTTCTATCAACTTTGCGCTATTGCTTGGCCGTTCTGTAACCGCGAGAATGAAGTAACGACTTTTGACAGTCAGACGTTTCGTTCAACTCGCGGTCGGCTGTTGTTCATTTAATTTAACGATTCGAGCCGCGCCTAATTGATGCCGATCTGCAGAAACGGTGGTCTTTTAAAAATTAATTGACGGAGCAAACACACGTATTTTTTAGAATATGCATTTTTAATTCATCTCATTATGATCGCGCGTTATTTGAAAAGTGACGTGGACAAAGTTATAGGGATCACGCTAAAATACGTAAATCGTATCGATTTATCCCCTATATAATATAATATTTAAAATCTGTCGTGTTCCAATATTTGACCCACGTCACTTTCGAAATAAGCAGCTCAACTATTCATTAAGTCCACGTGACTTTTTATACGCGATGGGAAATGCTCGCGACAGATTTTCTCACTCTGGGACATTGTTGGGATCGCGACGCGCGTTCGAAGAGGATCGTCTCCCACGATGATCCGGCGAGGAATCACAGTAATAGAGCATTTAGCGCGTTGCGAGCTCAGCTGCGCGTAATTTACTGAAGAATGATCTTCTGCCATATCATTTCAGTGTCTGTCTCTTTAAATACGCACACACACGCGCACAGCACACTCATGCGAAAGCCATTCGCACGTCCATTTTATTGTGATATATACTATTATACATATATACGTGTAGATATTATGAAGCAACACTGTCGAATGCAATGGCGATGCTTGTAAAATAAGACTTTTTTATATCGAAAGTGCAAAATACAAAATACGAGATTTTTCTACGGCAAATTTCTTCCTATTGTTCTCTTATGTCCTCCTTTTACCATTATTGTTTCCTGCTAAATATCATATCGTATATAGAAGATCGCGTATCATTTATCTATCTTACATACATTACCTTGCATTTAATATAATATCAATGTAAAAATATATATTTATAAAGTTTTGATAGAGCCATTGGCGGTTTTAAATTAGTTCACCTTTTTTCTTATCATATAAATCACGTAACATTTTGCCTCTTATCAAATAAGTATTAAGAATGAACACGAATGAACATTAAAAGCATATTTCGTGCGATATGGAAGGAGAAATGATTAGTATTCATCGATAAATACCCTTTATTCAATCGGAGTAACATTTATACTTACTTAAAGCATGTTATTGAACTTATATACCTGTAGATTTTTATTAACGGCAACAATCATAATCGCAATAGTGACGAAAACGTAACGATAATAGTGATAATAAATTTGGCAATAATAATAATAAAATAATACTGACAATAATCAATAATAGCAATAATAATAGTAATAACAATAATAATCAAGACTAGTAGATGATAATAATAAATATCGCAGAGTATATTAATTGCAACGCAACGGAATTGAAGATGAGTTCTGTTGCAAAGTCAAAATGTAGTGACTGTTGATTACCTGTTTTTTTCCGCTCATTCTTGACTCTTTTTTATATACCAATTGTGCTAACTCGAAATAAAGGAACTGTTTGACGATAGGGATAGTGGTAACCGTAATTATAATGATAATGATAGTGACAAGAATAATTATAACGTCAAGGTTATTCATAATTGTCGGTCGACTATCGCTATCTGTAATTTGTTATTACTCTCACTACACGGTGGTTGGTTAAAGTATATTTACTTCTTCTGCACGCGGCTTCTCCTATCTTATCAGCATTCCAGACAAACAATTAATTTTCCCTTCTCTTTATATACATTATCTGATACACATAGTTGTAGCGAACGTAGTTATAATTTTAACACAATGTAGCTTTATATCGGCAAAATCACTGATTATCCGATCGACATGTCTGCTATTTTACGATGATCCGTATCTTATGATTTCATAATATTGACGTTATCAGTCCGTGTGTGATAATAATTTGAAGAGAGAAAGTAAGAATGTTAAAATTAAATATTAAACCATCTAAACCAGCTAAAACCATCTAAAATATATTATGATATATTGAGAGCATTTTTCACGGCAGTATAATTGATGTTGACTATAATAAATACGCATACGATAAAGTAATGATCTATATAATAAGCGCTTCATTAACAAATTCTTCTTTTCAATTACATCTATATTTATTTTAATGAATCCATATTCAAGTTATATATTTCCATTTTGTTTTCAGGCGTTAATATACTGTTAATAAAAGTCTCTTGCATCTATGTCGATCGATTGACTTATACGCAGGTGTAAAAAGTCAACCAGCGAAAAACGGAAATTTCTGGCATGTGTCCTATAGTAATAATAACATTCATACAGCTCCAACGAGAAGCGACGACTCGTACGACTGAGTCGAAATTTCGATATTTACAAATTCCTGTAGCTTCCCCGTATTCCTCGTTCTAGCAGTAAAACAAAACGTATAACGTATAACGTAAATGGAAACGTAAAACAGATTAAAACGTTAAACAGATTAACGAAACAATAATAACCGTGTCGATACAAAATGTACACGTGTCTCACGACGCGCCCGTAAATGATCGCGAATATACAGGGGAGAGAATGCGAAACGCATTCCGAAATTATTGCACATATGAACGAATATTCTCCGACCGAATTGGTCGCGTCGTGTCATGAAGGAACGCGAGGCTCCGATCCTTCCTTGTGTCCTTGATGAAACGATCGAGACTTAATCATTCGCCTCGAATAAGCATAAATTCGACATCGGACTTACGATTGACAGCTGTTGATGTAGAGGCCACGCATGACCTCGTGAGCATTTCTCTCTTCTCTTCCTCTTTCTTTCTCTTTCTCTCTCTCTCACTCACTCTTTCTTTCGTCGTCCCACTGAAATCGCAGCTTATTATCGCCAGCGATTCTATGTCCTTATAATAATTGTATATCTCTGTGACTATGTACAGCCTATGGACAACGCATCGCACTTTTCTTTCTTATAGACTCGATAATATTATATAAATACGTTGGTATACTTCGTGACTATATTTTATCGACAGTAGTAAGAGTAATGGTAGCAATAATGACGATTGAATTAGTCGCTAAAAACGATCTGACTGGTTGTAACAGTTACAATAGTAGTAATAATAATGACAATAATAATAATAATGATAATAATGACGATAATAATAATAATAATAGCAACTAGCTGGTAAATAGTTAGCCGACAAATTGATTTATAAGTAGCCTTTGGATTTTCAGCAGAGAAGCGTCGTTGGCGGACACGCCGGCCCTTGTAAATCACGCGCTGACCTCGCTTAAACGGTAATAACAGTTACACAACAGTTAAGTATGGCGAGAATCCGATATATAATCTAAATTAATCATTTTTTTTACACGACTTAGAGCGACTTAACCATCAACCTGTCGAATAATATATAAACGCAATTTCTCCCGTTGTGTATGTACATAGGCGGCAATAGCGACCGCTGTCGATCGTGATACTTGACGTAGACACATCATTTATGTACAAAAGATATATCGCTGCGGGGACACAACGTCGGCCCCGCAAATAGTAGTCCGTTTAGCTCAACTCGGATGTCCCGATGGAGCCGTCGTGTCGGTTAGATGCCGTTATAGCGGTATTCTAAGCAGCCTACGGGCCGGTCGCCATGCTCGACCGGCCGCGACGACTTTCACCGACGATCGTCACCCCCCGACGATCGCACGTGGATCGCAAAAGTTGACGTGTCGCCGAGTGACGGTAGTCCGAAATTCACGCGAGCGATGTACGTATGTAGGTACGTGTGACGCACGGCCGGATTTTTCGCCACCAACATATCCGGACGAGTCACACGCGTCACGAAGCCGGGTTTCTCCCAAGTCGATAGGCCGATCCGCGGAGCTCAGTCAGACGATCGACGCAGTTCCCTCCCGTGTGTGCTCGTGTCGATTTACACGTGTCCTACGTGTAAGTATATACGTTTTTACGGGAACTGGGCACCGTTCTCTCGCACCGTTCCGTTCACTCGTACTCGATATGGAACGAGAGCGGAACGACTGCGATCCGAATGCGTCACGAATACGCCGGATCGCTTGCAGGTCGCGCGTGTCCCGAGAGCGACGCTCAGTACCCGATCGTCGATCTTTAAGGATGGTCTCAGATGGGTGTCGGCAGGACCGTAAAGTCCTGCAGAGCGGTCTTCACCGTCTCGTAAATCGGCCGGTTGCTCTCGTCGGCGCAGTAGCCGTCGGCGGTGCACAGAGTCTGCAACTTCGTCAAGTAACTGTCGAAGTTCTCGTGGCCGATCTTCTCCTGCGGCCCGCCCGGGGCGTTCGGTATTCGCACTTGCTCCAGCAGGGTGATCATGTTGTCGCGCAGCGATTGATAGTACTCGGTCAGATTATTGTTGCGCTGCGATATCGTCGTGGTTTCCTGCAAAAAGAAATGACAGGGTGCTCTTGTCAATGTCTGCGAAAACGTTATCAAACGTTATTTGGACGGCGATCAATAAGAAACAATGAGAAATAATCTAATTGCAACAAAAATGCTCACTTACAATTAGATATACACACACAATCAATTATTCTAGTTAAAATTTAAAATAAAAAATTTTTAAAAAAAAAACGTTCTTTTCAATATGCGACTTCAAAACGCGAAATGGACTGATCAACCATCGGTTAGTTTACTTGTATAATATCAGCATACGGTTAATAAAAAAATAATTACTGTAACATGTTATTTCGTGTAATAAATCTTCTACAAACTATAAATAACATCGAGAAAAAGAATTGTTTAATTAATAAACAACGATGCAATTAATTTAACGGGGCATTAAAATATAATAATTTAGCTTTCAAAATAAAATCCAATGTTGTAATCGCAATAAGGCAAACGCGATTAGCTCACGAGCACCAAGATCTATCATCTATCTATCTGAAAACGGCAAAATTTCTATTTTTTTTCCCGTTACACAATTGTACGTTATTTATTTATTCGGCACACGGTATACTACCGACTGAGCAAACACTGACCTTGTCTCCCTGCTTGAGCTGATTCTCCATAGCGGTGATATCCGAGCGCAAGCGCAAGACCTGCGATTCGACCCGGGCGTTCTCTCTCTGGAGCTCGGTGATCTCAGCCTCCAGTGTGTAGAGATCCTCGCCCTGGACACCGGCGGTCCCGCTACCGCTCGAGTTACCCTGACCCGTGCCTACCGCACCCCCGTGAGCCGGACCACCGGCTTCCAACCCTGAAGACAGGACAGACACGGTCCAGTTTGATCGACTGCCCGTTACAACCGCCGAAAGAGAGATTATATGTCGTATATTTCCCGATTTTTTTTTCCAGAGAATCGGTTTTTCACCCACAATTAAGCGTGCACGGCGCGATTCGTACGCCCTTTCGTCTCAATGCGAAAAATGCGGCCCTATTACGTGACAATAAGTAACAAATTCTATGGGAAAGCTACTAGAAACTGTCTGACGGAAGTTCGTACGAATTTTACGAATTAATATTTAAATACAAGCGTTCTGGCGTGTCTTATTTTTTTCTTTTCTTTTCTTTTTTTTTTTTTTTTTTTCATTCACGATCGATAAGCGTTAGGTCGAAAAATCCGAACAAGAATTTACGGGGCTTTTACGCGGTACAGGTGGAAATGTAGCGAGCATTTAAAATTTATGTCAAGGATCGGTTCAGGCAGCGACTCAGGCGAAGCGGTTTGTGAAAACACGTCGCAATTATGCAAGATCTGAATGAAATGTTTCGACTTTCGGTCGATGCTACTTGTACTATCCTTTTTTTTTGTTTTTCTTTCTCTCTCACTTCGCTCGTCCCAAGTCACTGCATTTTATAGCTTGTCTCGAGATAATGGGACGGTACGGTTTCTTCTGCGTACGGTTCGTGCCAAAGTGATAAACGCATCTCGGCAAAAAAGCGAGAGACACTTTGAGGCTCATTCGATTCAAGCGTGTGCTCCGAACTCGGTTAAGAGACGCACGAACCTGACAGGAGTGCCGTGGAAATGGTATGATCGGGACAATGTCAGGGTGTTTCGGGGGGTAATTAGCGTGAGGTGCCATCATACCAGATAGAAGAAAAAAAAAGACGGAGGACACCGAGTGCTGGCGTCGGTACGCGGCGCGACATATCTCATTTGCGCGTGAATGAGCGAGAAAAAGAAGCTTACGAGTTGTTTACTGTGCCAAAAGGTATACAATTCACAAATATTGCCAACACTCGAACGTCGTCACGTAAAAGTAAAAATACTGGTGTGTGGAGATTCTGTAATGTAACATCGAAAACACATAGGAAAACAAGTGGCGAATACGTCAGTCCCTTACCTTCAAAAGTAACCGTGCTCCAAGCTCAACATGAAAGGAGCTGATCCCAGAATAAATCAGAATATATTATTTTTCATCATTAAGACATACGGTTATTTGTTTGTTGTTGTTTTTTTTTTCGATTTTACATTTTCTGTCTTGTACATAACGAAGGAAGAGGTTCCTGCGCGGGACCGAATCGAAAGGGAGGGAAAAAAAATGAGATGTAAATTAACACCATCATATCCGATTCTGTTGCTTCGGTTTTCTTCTTCTTTTTTTTCTCTCTTTTATAAGCTATTTGTGGCATCCTTTCACCGTTTCGTATCTAATCAGTTGCGATATTTGTTCGCAAACCTGGAACATTTATTACTGAGAAAGAAAAGGGGATTGAAACGGGAAAAGAAATATTTAAAAGAGGAGAAAAATAAAAGAAAAACGAACTCTTTGATGGTCAAGAGAAAAACTTGGAAGGATAGGGAAAGAGGTCATTCTTATTGGTATGACAGCACATCATTGCGTGAAGAGCAGAGTATGGCATAGCACGGGATCAAGTACAAGGTTTGATATGCACAAGTTTACAAAGGAAGGTACATAATTCCGTATGTTTTAGCATCGTGTTCGTCCGGACGTCCGATCAATCAATGAAAAGTGGTGTAAATGTTACGTAACCGTTTTTCTCACATGAATTCTGAAGTAAAAGAAAAATAAGCGTCGAGAGACGATAAATTCCGAACGAGCACGATGCACAAGCATAGAAAAGAACAGAGAGCGAACTTAAACTGTCTTATCTACTTCGTAACATTTCCTCTCTTTCTATCTATCTCTCTCTTTCTTTCTCTGCCACGCGTTTTGATAGAAAAACGCATCTCGCGATCTCAATTTTGGCAGCTGCGCGCGAGCAGAATTTTTTTACGGATATACTCTTTAGAGAACAAAAATCGATCGTTATTCTTCATCGTAACGATTGGTCTCACGCACAGCGTAACTCTGACAATGATTATTCTTCGATCGTTAAGTATTGACAGCCGGAGGCGACATCAGGGGCAACTCGATCCTCACCGGTGATTCCTCTGCTGTACATGCTCATATTGTCCTCCGGTTTCGGTTTCTTCACGGCGTGGCTGGCTATCGGACAGCCCGACAAGGACCTATGGCTGTGGAAGGAGCCGTTTATGTGACCGAGTCCATCGCATCCGGGCGTTGGGCAATTGACACCCTCGAACTTCATAGCCGTCGCGGCCGCCACGGCCGCCTTGTGCTGCTCGACCGTACCGCCGGACTCCAGTACCCGCATTTTATTCCTATTTGCGATTGGGCACCCAGATGCACTGTAATAAGGAAACGAGGATATGAATAGTACATGCGATGAAGATTACGGACGAATAGGCAAAGGGTTATTACCGATCTCGGCGATTACAGTCACAAACATCGGTTGTATATCATCATAATTCAATTTTCATTTAACAAACGAATAGCATATAACGGCAGGTTAAAATAGTATTTTATACTTAAGCTACGTAATTATTGAACTATTGAATTATTGAACTATTCAATTTATTATTAAACTGCAGAAATCGCTGCGAATAATATCAATCTTTTTAAGTTATAAGTAATCAGAACTTTAACGGTTAATCTCGCGATCTGTATAGAAGCTAACGTTATCAAAACCACTTAATCATCCGCAATTTAACACATAGGATAATTGTACATGTACGTAGAAAAAAAGAGAAAAGAAAACAGCATACGAGTATGCTAGGATCCACCTTGCGTGAAAGCTCCTACGAGCCTTACCTGCGGTGCGACAAGAATTTGCCAGTGGCATGGCCGGACCCGTCGCAACCCGGGATTGGACATCTGTAGTCCAAAATGCCAACACCACCGTCACCAACACCACATAATCCATCCGCACAGAGCGAGCGTGAAACGAGCGGAAACCGCCAGTTATTAGTCAGCGTCTTCGCTTTTGCGCGGGGTGTAACTCGGGCAAAAGGGAGTTTAGGATGCGGTTACGGGGGGGGAGGGAGAACGGGATTTCCCCTTTCTCTCGGGGTCTCATCCGGCAGCCTCGCGGTACGTGCAATGCGGTCGAGAAGATACCTGCGTTAGCTGCTACGTGCAACGTGCGAACGCGACGAAAACGCAAATTGAGATCGCGATTACCGCCGCACCCTCAAATTGCGGAACTTGCGAGATGTAATCGCGTCGTGAAACCAAATCCTACCGAACTCGCGATAACCCCTCACACTTTTCGGACCTCCTCCCTTCGTATCATATTAATTTACAGTCGCTACTTTTTAATATTGGATGCAAATTAAATAGTTAGGAAAAAAGAATTTTGCAAGTCAAAGTAGGTTTCTTTTAACCCTTATTATATATATGTTACGCCTAAACGTGCATCCTGCATAATTCTTCCGCAAATTTTAGTCAATAAAATATTTCTTTCGTTAGTATGACCGTTAGTATCGGTGTTGCCCATTAAAATTAAACAATTAATTGAGAACGTCCTATACAACTATAACTCCTTGGAATAAATAAAAATTGGAAAATGCCGCTAATCCGTGTTAATCGCGCGAACAAAAGGTGCGGTCAGAATGAAGAGCGCATAATTCACAGTATTCGCGCCAACTGACCTCAGGGGCTCAGAATCTTGACCATCTCGAGGTTTACTCTTTGGCTTGTTGGCTCGTGGACAGCCGGACAAACTTCTGTGCGACGAGTAATTTCCCGTGACGTGTCCAGAACCGTCGCATCCTGGCGTAGGACACTTGAGCTCCTGGGAATGCGCCTGGATTTGCGAGCGGTCGGCTCGTGGACATCCGGAGAGGCTGCAAAAGGAAAGAGACTCTCTTCTATTTTGACGCGTTGCGAAAACGCCATGAAGACCGCGCGCTGCGTGTTCTGAGGAGGCACAAGAAGTTGTGAGAGATTTGAAGAATTTCGAAAGTAAAAAAAATTTATCATTTTGTTACGATATCGTTGTCCGATAAAATTGCGCAACGCGGTAATCTTCATGGCTTCCGTCACACGAACGCACACCTCAGAAACGTCCAACCATCGCTTCAGCAGCACATCGCATGCAATTTACGCGACGTTGCCACGATGTCGTGAGTACTCACATGATCTAAAGGCTATTCAACTTGGAAGGACGATTAACGTTTCGAACAATTAGATCTCGATGAGTATCCGAACATCTCGTTCGCTGAAACGATCGAAATCGTCTATACGTGTCGCACGACGGATGACATAACGCGCCACCGAAATTAACGTATTGCTATTAATTATTAATCGCCGCGCTAAGATCTAGATATATATGTGTATTCATCGAAGAGCGGCAAGAGACGTTGGCTCACCGAGATCAGGCCAGCGTACTGCATCGGGCACCGGCTGCATTAGCCAGGTACGTTATTTACTTTCGGACGACTTGCCTTGCGTCCAGTTCGAACGAAGACATTGAGGGAAAGGGAGACCTAAGACTCGCATTTCTCCGCTCGAGCACCGATCGCTGCGCGCCGACGATCGTAGCCCGAGTCTTACGCTCCGGGGATACCCTCAAATGTCGTGCGGATTGTGATCGATGCGGGCGGACAACGGATCGTGTTTGGTATAGCATGCAAATGGCAACGCCGTGTTCCAGTTGGATCACTTATGAGGTGTCGCTCGTAAGATCAATCGCGCTTCGTCCTTGCGTTGATCCGAGATCGGTCTTACTCTAAGAACATCGAAAGGGAGAGCAGGGAGCACACTCACACCTGACCCCAATGAAACTCGCCAATTGCCAATTTGACTTTGCGCACGAGGTGCGTCGCGAAGCGATATGTATCTTGACCGCTTCGTGGGTTTCCTTGATCGTTAACGGTTCTGCTATGACATGGTCATCGACAACAGTTCGCTACGAAGCTGCCCACTCGAGGCTGGCGAAAGCGGCTTTCAACGGACGGGTAGTCAGTAAATTAATCACTACGTACGAAAGCGAATGAGTCTCGCGATCGAAAGCGGGTAAATCTTGTGCCGATCCCTGCGCAATGCCGGACTTTGATTTTGCCATCCCTTTTCGTAGGGGTCGGGTAAAAACAGCGAAGAAAAAAAAGAAAGAAAATTCATTCAATTACGAGGCTCATCTACACACTTTTGGTATCGCATAACGTAACGTAGATAGGTACATAGAATATATGAAAAAAGAAGAGAGGAGAGAGAAAGAAAGAGAGAGAGAGGAAGTATAACGAAAAATAAAGACTATATATATATCATATATATACATATAAGTATAATATATATGTATATATACTTATGCAAGGTAACTATAGCACCACTGGATATTCACACGTATATCATATATATATGGCAAAATAAAATATTAACGAAATGTATAACTCAACCGCTCAACTAGGAGAAAATAGGGTTTCTAAACGTATGTTTCGTATCGCTATCGCAACACACTTAAGAAGCAACTACGCCACGGACCACCAATATGCATCGATACAAGAACCATCCATGTAAATGTAATTCGCAAATTACGTAATGTCGTTTGTTGTATATTTGTATGTGTTTTTAGGTATAGGATATATATTGTCATCTACCGGTTTTTAAATAAAAATATTTATTGAGGCTTTATTGAGGGACCAAAGAGGAACAGCATAAATTTAAGTGTACGCATGTATGTATGTAT